ATTCAATAGAAATGTAAAAAGTCCTCCAGTTGGACTTTAAGACCCGACAATCTATTCCAAGGTGGCTGTCACCCACAATCTTTTGCAAAAATGCTACATGAGTAGGTGCTGCTATGGTCTGAATATGATGACCTACACTGTCTGTTCCAGAAAGAACAGACCTGTTGTATTCTTAGAGATGCTGGAGGATTGAAACAATGTAATGTGACAGAAAAATTCAGATGGCAAAGAAAAGGAAAACAGCAGAAGACATGAATCAGTGTCATTGTGGTCATTTGTTTGGGACACCCAAAGAGAGTCTAACTGTCATTGCTATTTTGGTACGAAATATGCCCCACAAACCCAAAACTCGGTGGATGGCACCCTGGCCGCCCCAGCATGCAAATAAGGGAGGCCATGTTGAAAATGTCCAACTGAGTCTTTGTTCAAATTCCAATGCCTACATGCAGTAGTGCACTACAATTGCCAAACATATTGCCTCCTTCACTTACTGAGGTTTCCTAATACGTCAACGTAAAGTCAACATTGACCCAATGAAACGTTGCTTGAGTTCTGATCAGTAGAAATTGGAAACGGCAGTGATACTCAAAAACCATGCTCTCTTATCTAAGGCCCAGTACCCCCTCAATGTGAAAATGAAAAGCTCTGGCTTGTAGAGATCTGTCAAAAATGAGCTACTGACACAGGAGTACTCTCGGTCATGTCATTTATCTACACAATAATTCAGGTCAAATACCTGAAATAACCTTTAGAAGCATGTTGAAACTTACACAGATTACAAAAAAAAACACCTGTGAAATGAAACGGGCAAATTCTGAACCTTGATGTGTCCAAACTGTTCCTGCAGGCAGAACTCTTTAATTAAAACCTCTTGGTATTTAGTTGTTGTTGATTAATCTGGCAGCTTTCGCTGGCAAACCCCATGGCATGCAAAGCCGGTACTGAATTAGTCTGAGAGTGTTCTGCAGCGCAATCCACCCCTACTGCACTGTGTAGTTTCAGTGGCAACATTAAACATAATCATCCTAAATGCAAAATTTGTTATGCCACGATCATGAGGTCATGAGGCATGGCGCGCGAATCTTAGGACTGGTTCTGTAAATTGTTTGTCTTTATTTATTTTTTTACAACAGCACATGGAAGAGAGATCTCACGATTCCAGATGCCTTGTTGCCCTGGGAAAACATACATACATACACACACACACACACCTCTGTGATTCGCCGGAACCCTCTCTACTGTCTGGGGTAAAAGTCACGAGTGTCGGAAGTCACACACACACACACACACACTCACACACACAGGCTGTGTCACACTCATCTCCTTTCCTGGAAATGTGGTCACACATATAGTGGCCCCAGCTTTCAGCTGGAGGTCAAGTTTTGCATGCTGCAAGAGAAGTCTGTATGGGCCAGAAGTCCATTTAAAAACAGTGGTGCACGTTCTTGTGCCTACATACTGGAGTCATGTGTCCCATTTCTTGACCTGGGTTAACTTGTTGACTTAAAGAACACCCCCCCACCTCCCCCAAGTTTCCTGTGTTGAGATGAAGAATGGAGAACCAGCAGCTCAGCAGTTACAATGTTCACCTTCCACACGAAAATGGCTCTATGGCCAAGTCTGGACCCAGCTCTAGAATCAGAGAGCCCACACTCTCTTCTCTTCATTCCACCAAGGATTGGGGTGGGTATGTGTATTAGTGGGCAATAGAGTGGTGCATTGGTAAAGAAAAGGGCTCATAACTAAAATGTTACTAGTTCAATTCCCTGCTGGGGCACCCTTGGGCAAGGTACGTAACCCAGTGTTGCATTAGTAAATACCCAGCTGTATAAGTGGATTGTAACCTACTGTATGTGAGCTGCTCTGGATAAGAGCATCTGTTAAATGACAATAATGTAATGTAATGTTGTCAGGGGTTGCTCATCTCCCTGCTGTAAGGCACCCTGTGACTCTTCACGTGCTTAAAGGTTGCTCACATGACCTCAGTGAAGCTGCGCCCAGTAGGTGCTAATAGATTCTTAGCTCACTGCAGTGCAGTGGGCAGCTTGTCGTGTGAAAAGCAGTCGCAATTGGTGTGAGTGTATCGGGGGATTGTATTTGCTGCACTTCAGCATTCTTGCACAAGCTCAGTGGTTGTCAATGTGCGATTACATTACACAGGTAACAATTTTATTCATTTGTACAGCTGAATTTCAAAAAGAGGGCTGTATCAAAAAGGGAAAAAAGCAATAAAAAGAAAAAACAAAGTAAAGCAAACAAGGCTCTTTTACTGCAAGTAAAGACTTTTACCTGGAATAAACTGTCCAGGAAGTTCAGAACACTTGTATGCTATCAGGCGTCCCCTTTTATGAGCATAAAATGAGCTCTTTGTATGATTTTCTTTGTGGTTGGCTAGTACAACCAGCTTTTCACCTACAGTGTTTTCACATGCAGCTTGAACCCAAGCACTCCTGTCTGATGTATTTGCTTTCAAGTGCATTATCTTTGATCGCAGATGTGTTATTTTGTGATAAGTGTCCCAAACTTTGAAAATCTCTGTTTTCCTCAGGTCTACTGTTGTGGACCACACTGGAATTTTTTCTTCAGATAATACATTTGCGTGCTATCCTCACTGACTGTTTGCATATTTAATTTCATGAACTACATACATAGTTTTGTTAACCAAAATAAAACCGATGAACTGATGTATGAAATACTGCAGAAGTTCAAAAGAGATCAAATGGATTTTGGCAAAAAACAGCAAAAAATATACTAAGAATCAGTTTACTACAAGTCTGTAGCTAAGACTTTAAAGGAGTTTTTTTAAGGCTTTCTTTCTTTGTCTTTCCTTTCTGTGTCTCCTCTGTGTTCTGCACTCTGTCGTCACTATTCAGCACTGTTACACGAATACAATGACATACACGTTGCTTGTGTTTTGTGTTGTAATCGCTGTTCAGTTATAGATTACCATTCACGAATGGAGCGCTTTCCTCAGAGGCGACAAACATGGCACGGGAGTTGGCGTTGTGAAATCTTGTGAGCTGCTCGCTGCTGAACAGGCAGGTCACTTGGAAACTAACTCCTACCAGAGAGTGCTGAAAGTGAGTTCAGTTTAGCGGCACTTCCCTTTCGGAGCGCATTAGGGAGCTGTTTTGCGTTCCGAATACACCTGTGCCGCTGTGGAAAGTACAGAATGTACGGTCTCGCCTGAGTTAGAGCTCTGGTTCGCGTCCAAGCTTCGACGAAATACACTGCCCCACCCGCACGACAAAAACAAAGCGTAATGCATATCTAAGTATGCTATTAATGTACATACACGAAAGTGCAACAATATTTTTGGACTTTGAACTGTGACTGAACTTCTCCTGTCCTTCGAACGGCACTAAAACAGGTCCACCTTAGGTCATTGAACCCTTATGATTTGGCAGTGTATAGCATAGTGGTAAGGAGCAGGATTCGTAACTGACAGGTTGCCGGTTTGATTCCCCGCTAGGGCACTGCTGTTGTACCCTTGGGCAAAGTACTTACAAACCCACAGCTGCTTCAGTGAATGTCCAGCTGTATCAATGGATAACATTGTAACAAACTGTAACCTGTGTAAGTCGCTCTGGATAAGAGCGTGTGCTAAAATGCCATTAATGTAATGTAACTCGGTTCCTTCAATGCTTTTAGAGACAGATATTTAAAGCTAAGATCCTTCATAAGACGCCAAAGCATACTGTATGCTGCTTTTCGATTGTTGTTCCAATCTGAAGTAAGAGAGGATAGAGCAGTTAACCCTGATGGCTCTCCAACAGGTTTATACAGTAGGCTAGCTAGGGTAAACTCTAGAACCAGGTAAAGTATACCTATGGGAGTATAATTCTAAACTGATTAGTATCGGGGGCGGGGTGACCAATCTAAAATTAATTGAATAAATTCAACTGTAATTGAATAAACGGGCTATATGTTCATATTTATTTGGTGCGAGGAAATTAGTACCCTGCTTTGACCTCCCCTTCTCCGAAATCTGTCAGGCTCCCGGCACGTGAGATCATGTGCTCCTGCGCCAAAGCTGACAGGAGTGGTGAGGCGCATGAGGGAGTTTTGTCTTTAGCGGTGGGCTGATCTGCCTTACGGATGGATAAAAAGTAACTCCTTCAGTTTTTTCATTGATAATCGATTATCGGCGATCAGATGACAGCACCCTCTTCCACAGAGCTCTCTGTTAATCAGTGCCGGTCACGACACCTGAGCAGCAAAAAGAAACATGCTAGTGAACGTGACGAAATTATTACAGCCGATTTGCTGCAGTAAGCAATCGCCCCTCTATATAGGTCTAGAGGCCGAGAGGGACCGAATAACGATCCCGGTGTCCACCTGCAGACCGCTCGCCGCAGCACAGTGTAGTTATCACATGAGCAGACATCGAGGCAACTGAGTAGTACATAGCAAGATCGTTTTGAAAAAGCATTAGGATATCAGCAAACAAAACAGACAACCTACAAACTTTATCCATTCAAAAAAATTAAATAAACAACAAATAAAGGCTACGGAAATGAACGGGCTGTGTAACGGTAAGAATGTCTCCGAGTTTCACTGCCGGAACGCGTTCAGCGAGTTGTCGATCGACGCGAAGAAGACTCCGTTTCAGTGCGACCATGAGAAGTCTCGCAAGGAGTCCGAGGACGAGTCGAGGCTTCCCGTTCTGGAGGCCGCTTACACCACCGTTCTTCAGGCGCTCGGAGAGGACGCTGACCGCCAGGGTCTTCTTCGGACACCGCTCCGTGCGGCCAAAGCCATGCAGTTCCTGACCAAAGGCTACCACGAGAGCGTCTACGGTAAGACCGTATTCTCTCCCCCAAGTGGCTTATGGATAAACTAGAAAACCTTTTGTATTGCATTACATTATTGTCATTTAGCAGATGCTACTATCCAGAATGAGTTACATAAGTCACAGTGTACATGCTATCCATCTGCTAAATATTTAGTGAGACAATTCTAGGTTAGGGACCTTGCCCAAGGGTACAGCAGAAGTTCTCCAGCGGGGAATCGAACCATCAACCTTTGGGTTACGAGCCCTGCTCCCTACCACTACGCCACGTCCCCTTGCCTGCATGAGTCCTACCTGATGTTTTTCATTCTCTAAGAGCAGACTGCTCCCGTGCGTTTAAAAACGCTCAAAAATGATTTAAACAAAAATAAAGTAATATTTTGCACGTAATTTATGTATCAAGAGCTACGACAAAGGTGCTGTAGTCATGTACATGAAGCTTTCATTGGGAAGCTTTATGAGTATGAAATTTTTAAATCTATATCTAATTAGCCTATAGGTAATAATGTGGCTGATGTATGATCTATCCCGCCATGTATTTAACCATAAAATATAGCCATATAATATGGCCAAATATAAATTAGTTTACGTTTCATGCAGGTAAATTTCCCTACAGGATGTAACATTCATTTTGTGATTAACAATATCAACAGTTCAAGCATGGAGCTTGAACAATGGACATAGCTGAAAAGGAGAAGCGTTGAAACATGCCAACATATGCGCTGCGAACCGTGAGTCGTTCGCTTTCTGCAATCGGGAAAATGCGTGTTCTCTCTCTACGATTTCTTGTCCCATCGCTAACCAGAGTTGAAAGCCCAGTACACGTCAACAAGATGTTCCGTTTTAATAGTAATGTTTTAAGAAATCTAGGGCCATATGTATCAATCTTGGTGTACAACTTGTGGCCGTAGGACCATGTGTACGCACAATCCCACGATTTGTGTACAGAGGTTTTTCAAACACCACGAGTTATCAAACACCACGTACGCCTAATTGTCTTCATAAACCTTACCGTAAATCAAATTATCATGAGATTATGTGCACATGAACGCGCTTAACGTCCACTCCCACAATTGTTCTTATATGGACTGAGGCACGCCTTTAATTAGTCAAATTAGCATATAAAGATCCCAGGTAAATCTGAGTGAAATGCAGAGACTGAGGTTGAGGATCAATGGCAGGACGAAAGAAAAGAAAAGAAAAGAAAAGAAAAGAAAAGAAAAGAAAAGAAAAGAAAAGAAAAGAAATTATTCGGACACGGAGATAGAGGTGATGGTTGATGAGGTGGAGAGGAGAAAAAATGTCGTTTTTGGAGGCCAGACTAGCGGCATTTCAAATCGACGGAAAAATGCGGAGTGGCTCAAAGTGGTGACAGCTATGAATGCAGTTTCACCAGAGGTGCGTACGGTGGAGGAGGTGAAGTGGTCGGATTTTAAGAGATGCCAATAAACGAATAAGCGCACACAGGGCCAGTGTGTCCGCACCCAGTACCACGAGGGGGCAAGAGGGGGCTTTGCCCCCTCAGTTGTATTAAGTTTTATGTACCCTCTATAGAAAAATAGCAAAAATAAAAATACTGGAAACGTTGGAATACTCGTTGGAAACGACACAGGGAAGTGAAGTTTCGGTCAACGAGAGAGAGGGAGAGAAAGAGAGCGAGAGCTGCATGGCATGAGCAGAAAGACATGCAAAACGATCTGATCCTTTTTTAATGACCCTGACGCTGTTGGCTATTTGTTGATTTTAGCAGTCATCTCGCAGTGGTTAGAATCGTTCATAAATTCTATTATTTTGCGTCTTGTAGACCTACCTTCCGAGTGCTCCGATTCCCTAAATTGTGCCAGGATGCTCAGGTTTAATACTGGCTTCACCACTGCTGTGAAATGTATTATTTAATTTTGAAACGGTAGTCTTGTTATTGTTATTTATTATTATATTATTGTTATTTAGCCTTTCAGAGGCTATTGCATGGTTAAATCAATGAATTTCATTAAACCTACCACCAGACCGCAATTTTAGATGGTGACCTGGCAATCTGCCCCAAATATTCCTATTATAGCCATGACGCACAAACACATGGAAAGGGTAAGGTAGCGAATTGTTCGCATCTAGTCGAAACGCCACTATATTGCCACCTGCAGGATGAAAAAAAAATGCAGAAATAGGCATAGCAGGATGATAACCCACTGTTTTACTATATAAAAAGATTTGCCCCCTCACGATTTTAACTACCCCCTCAGTCACTTCATTCTGGCGCCGGGCCTGGCGCGATAACACTCATCAATGATTGACATAAGACCCGTTTACTTGCATCACCTCTTGGTGTCGCCAATCTGCAAATTACAAATTTTATGCGTACACCACCTCGAGACCTTGCGCAGAGGTACGCATGGTTTCCCGGGAAGTATCTTTTCATAAATACCGTTTTATGTGTAGAAAAGTGCTCAGCACGATTTTAGTGCGTACGCACCGTTGATACATGTGGCCCCTAGTGTCACAGACTGCAGGGGGTTCTGTAACACACCTCAAGATCGTGCAAGAGATCAAGATCTGCAGCATCTGGAACTTGAAAAGCAGAATATTGTGAATGTAGTGAACACACTGTTATCTGACGGGAATGTTTTATGTCACCATGCAATTAGTGTTCATTGCTTATTTTTTCAATGGGGAATGTGCTTCCATGTTCTCAGCACCACATCAAACATTACGTTCTTCTAAACCCTCGTGTAACTGTGTGTGTGTGTGTGTGTGTGTGTGTGTGTGTGTGTGTGTGTGTGTGTGCGCACACGTATATGTGTACATGTGAGTATTAAAGGAGACACGTGCAGGTAAAGATTATCTGTAGAAGGAATTTTATCAATCCAGAGAAACTTTACACTAAAAATTCAGCCTGAGTCCTGGAATGTTCCATCATGTGAGCTTCTTAAATTCTCCATAATTCCGTTGAGTGCCTCAGTAGAATCAGGAGGGCAGGCGGAGCAGAGCACCATGTCTGGTGGTCCCTCCCTGCATCCAGAACAGGAATTTACTTGTAGTGACAGATGTCAGAGGGTCATGTTCTTTGTGGCTCTTTTTGTTTTACAATGAGAGCTTAAACCTGTTTGACCTTTTAATGATGCCCTTACAGCAAACACCACAGTCCTCTTTTCACAACAGTCATCGTTCATTAACCTGTACAGAACTCAGCAGCACTCAGTGGTGAGATCCAAACAGCAGAGGCAGAGAAATGTCCTTCATCTGACAGTCACCCTCCCATCACCCAGTCATCCTGGCTTCACTGCTTTAAAAGACTGAGGATCATCGTTTACCTGCTGGCTACATTTTATCCCATGGCAATCAACACTGAAGCTCTGTCTGTGCAGTCCTCCATTCATAACAAATGAGGAAAACCTGCCATTGATGTTACATCCTAGAAAAAAAACTGTCAGGAAAGAATACAAAGGAGTTCTACAGTTCACCATTGTGCTGTGGCTCTTAGATGATGCACTGTGTTTTACCCCACTATGTGTGTTTGTGTGTGTGTGTGTGTGTTTCCTCAGACATCCTTAACGATGCCATTTTTGATGAAGACCATGAAGAGATGGTGATTGTGAAAAACATTGACATGTTCTCTTTGTGCGAGCATCACCTTGTGCCTTTCTTTGGCAAGGTAGGCCTTTGAGGTTCCCCTATGCACCAGTTTCATAAATTACTTTTTCTGAGCTAAATTAGTTGTGTGGGGGGATCAATGTAGCAACAGTGCCACGAAAGCAGTCCTGTCAAAGGTTTTGGGTATACGTGTTTTCTCTGCTTCCAAACCCCCCTGATTTGGGAAGTGAAGACTTTCCACATGTAGCCAGTAACGCGTTATCTACTATATATGTTGTTGGAATTACTGTATTGATAATTTACATTGAATTACATATTTTTATTTCAGATATAGAATTTTAAAAAACAGAGTTTCAGTGAGAAATCTTTTCCCCACCATGACTGATTTCACAAGTTTTTTTGTTTATCTTTGCAGGTGTGTATGTCACTTGTGTAGCCTGAAAATCACTCGTTCTGTGGACATTTACCTTTTTACATAGACCAACATTGTTTAGGAATTTTCATCATCATATTAACCTTGTTAATAACCCTCTCTTATCTTTTGTCTGTCTGGTGTATAATTAAATATAAAGTATGAATCCCATCTGTGTATTGTTGCTAAGCGATTATTTGAGATGTCAGCCTCGGGACGGTTGCATGGAAGTGTAGAGGCATGTAGTCGCCCTGCTTTTCGCACCTTAAAGGTGCTAAGAGTGTAGACAGATTTAACCCTCATTTAAGGCATCAGATTCCAGCCGCTGCTGCTGGCACTGCTGTTGCATCCTCTCATTTACTTCTTCTGTGATGTCTTCAGGTTCACATTGGATATCTGCCAAATAAAAAGGTGGTTGGTCTGAGCAAACTGGCAAGGTGAGCAATGAGTGCACACACACACACACACACACACACACACACAAGCGTCTGACCCCACAGTCCTGTGTTTGGCATGGGAGACTAGCTGACTGTGTGAGAATGTAAGAGCAGGAGCCAGTGTGTTAGCCACAACCGGCTACATTCTTCTGTTGCCACAGCCCATTGACCAGGCAGCTTAGACCTAAAGCCTGCCAGGCAGCCTGCACACCCAGACCCACCCAGCTCTCAGCCCTGTTTCTGCACCTCTCTATTCAATGCCAGTGTGTGTGTGTCTGTGTGTGTTTGTGTATGTGTGTATATGTATGTATTTAACGGGGGAGGGGTGTTGGAGTCACTGCCTGACCTCTGCTGTATGGCTCTGAACACCTCCTTTCTGTAGGAGTGGCACCAATGTTGCTAACACAAAATAAAATATCACCACCACCATCACTGGCGCCTCCTCCCCCAGCGTCCCTCATCACTTACAGACACAGCACTGAAGCCCCATTGGCGCTCAGTGCATGAGGTTTGCCAAAGGCACACACAACCATGACAGTTATGTGGACAACAAACAAAAAACGAACAGATGTGAAAGCAGCTGAGTTCACAGGTACTTACCGCAAGGCTTAATTGCACTATATGTTGGCCAAGAGATAAATGATTTTTTTTCACACATTCCTGCTTGAAAAGGCCTTTATCAGACTGATCAGGGTTAGCTGTGGTCTAGAACTCAAACCACGATGTAGTCGGATGGACAGTTCCCCCGTCCACATTGCATACGCGTACCTCCAAAATGTTCAGATGTCATGAGCTTGGAAATTGGTTATTTCTTTTTCATTTTTGGTTTGGTGTGT